TGCTTATTCTTGGTGTTTATCAACGACCACTCAAGAGTTATCTCCTCAAATTTCTTGCTTTTCGCCAAAGACGTCACGATATGGCAGACGATTAGTAACAATGCAGATCACGATATAGACCAAAATGACCTAGATTGCATTTATGAATGGTCAAGGAAGAACGTGCTTCAGTTAAAGACAGCTAAGTGCAAGGTGATCCATCTGCGTCACAAGCCGCCGAGGGCTAACACGCTTGCAGACCACACCTTGCAGGAAGCCTCTCAGGAGCACGATCTAGGTGTATTGGTACAGATGCTCAGAACAAGCAGAGAAGACGTCGAAAATCAGGTGTCAACAATTTGGCCTTCTTCACAGATTGTTCGGTCGGTTTGAACCCTCAATCGTCCCACAAATCCTTAACGCCTACGTGCGACCGCACATGGAATATGCAATGCAGGCGTGACACCTGTGGCATAAACGGGATCTCCTTTCTGTCTACACTCCTCAACGAAGGGCTACCAAGAACGTCAGGGGCCTCTTTCATCTGCCCTATCAGCTTAGACTGAAGTTTCTAAGAATGTGCAGCAATCGATATGGGCTTTAGCTGGGGGATCTCATAATGGTTTACCAGATTCTGAAGAACCCAAACCACATTTGCCTTCCGCTGCTGAAATGGAACCAAAACACCAACCTAAGACAATACAGCATAGCCGGCTTGAATGCCGTAGAAATTTATTTTCCCTCCGATTGTGTCAGCCTTGGAACGCTCTCACAAATTATGCCGTCGCTGCCACAAATCTAGCGAATTATACGAAACGACTTGGCGGTGCGTTGTCGCATTCGCGTTTCATTCCGCAAGTATTTAGCCAGGGGACTACAAAACGCAATCAAACGGTGTGTTACCAAACTCTCAAGCAATGGATTGATGGGACAACACTTTCAATACGAGAACATCCCCGCTATTCTATATAAGTCATCGGTAAGTGCACCAAAACACTTTTCCCTTATCATGAAATCCTATTTCAGTAATAATTTCCGTCTCATGGGACTTGTTAATCATCGCCATTGTAGGATGAGTGACATTTCGCCTATCTCAACCTCAGCATCAGTCACCTCTTGGTGTAACCAAGTTTCAGTAATAGAAATCAGGTCTCAAGCATTCGCAACCTGATGTAGCCGAAGTCCGGGAAGTTTACTGAGGAGTCCTAGGGCGTTAGTGCACAGATATGAAAGTTTCTCAGATTTTAACAATGTTTCGGAGGTTGAGAAACTCATACGTGAAGTTTCGCCGAACAGTGAGTGGCCGGCGACTAATCATTATTCCGATGTGTACTTCGTGAAGGGTTTAACGTCTTATTCATAGTCCGCGTAGTTAGTCCCGTGTCTAGTCTTCTACGTACAGCGTAAGGTGTCTAGTCAATATCATCTTCTACAGGTTGTATGGGCTCATTCGACACACTACTGGTGCATTGTTCTTTTATAGATCCCATCGCGTTTGGTTTCTTGTGCGACACATCATCCATAGGAGGCATATCGCTGACTGTCTTCAGACGTAGCTCAGATGGTAGCCTGCATTGAAACATGTACCAAGATTTCATCAGCCGTGCTGCTATATGTTTTGGCTGTAGGACCACTTTCAACACTCTCGGGCCGCATGCTTTGTAGTTCGGTGAGGTATGCAGCTGTATCTCCGATTTCGCAAGCAAATCACCCAAGGAGTGTGTATCACGATTATAACACCATTGTTCTTTATCATGGGTTGTTATTTCATGGTTCTGGCATGCTTCAGTTTCAGGAACGTGGTGAACAAATATGGTCTCGGCTAAAGTTCCTACTGGTAGTTTTCTAAGTTGCGTTTAATTCGATAACGCTCTCCCCATGGGATGTCTGGAAAAATACGGATGGAGCAGTGTTCGTTTCTGAGTTTACCTGCCGACAGCAGAACCGATTCTACTTCAGGGATGGAGTTCAGCACAACGCGCAGAAGTCTTGGTTCTCCATCATGCTTAGAGTTGGGGTATTGCGTATTACGCACTACTTGTACAGGTTTCAGTACAACTCCGATAAGGTTACTAATGACGTCGCACTGGTTGAGGTTATCCAACTGTCTGTCTCTTATTGATGCCCAATTTCATTGTGTGACATTGAAGCACAGTACGCTCAGTAAAGGTAGTTGTTTCTTTATACCACTCGACATGTCGCGGTTAGTGATTGAAACACTCGGAGACGTACCGCAGGAAACCGGTTGTGTTTGCACTAGGAGAACTTCGCTGCGCTCCTCAGCATTTGATCTATTCGGGGATGTTAATTTTAAACGTCGGATCTTCTTGGAATCAACCCTAACCCAACGTTCGTCAGTACCGGCTTGCTCTCTTTTTACGCACTCCGTGGGGAGTTTGGAAGTGGCTTTACATGTGGTTACCCCAATCACGTTGCGAACGGCATTAGTGAAATGTGAGCCACGTGTGGTATTGGAACAGCAGTTGATGATCTGGACTCTAGGTGGGGTGTTGCAAATGTTGTTACTAGCAGTTCTTCTCGGGATAGGAGCAGCACAAACCAGTCTGACAATACCAACTCAAACTAATCACACACACCAAAGTCTACTTCATTGCCGACAAAACATTTCCCCCCTTCGAGTAGCCAGAAGGTGGAACGCTGTTCCTTTTCACGTTATTTTCGCCCCCAGGTTTACGTCTGTAAAAGAACGATAAGACTACCTTCTACCCCATTTACCTGACGTGAAATAGTCCGTTTCCATCGGAAGAAGAATTAATGAAAACAGCATGCTCACCAGCCCACTTGCTACATAGCTGTGAGCAGACCCCTGTATGTGTTCATGTGAAGAACTCAGTGAGACATCTTAAACCAGCATTCACTATTTCCTGTCATTTTAAACCAATAGTATTTAATCAGCATTCCATTTATACTATAGGAATTGTCAAGAAGTCGCGTTGTTGCCCATTATAAACCATTACTCATTGGTCATCTTTGTTGGTATGATGTACGGCTGTTTGAGATGCACGATTCAATCGAACGGCCGCAAGAGTTCTCTTTGTTCTACTCAAAGATTCTCTCGTGCTTGAGAGTGTGGTTCATTCAGATGGCATATGCATACATGGCTAAAATCCTTGCTTTTTTTCTAGAACTATCTAACCTCGAAGTATAAAGTAGTGTTCGTCTGAAATTCATGGGATGCTGATTTTAATGGTTGCGACAGTCGCTAAAGAGGGAGCGATGCTCTCCATTGCCCATCCAACATCAGAGCCTGCAAGCGTCGGTCAAAGGAAATGCATTTCTGCTTATGCTAGGAAGGTCTGAAGACCATACTTGCTTCATCCTACCTGCAATTTTCAGCCGTAGCCTTTGCCTGGATCTGGCGTCCGTGAACCTCGTCATTTATTAGTTGAACTGTAGGCTCAGCGCCGGGTTGAGAAGAACCTAGTCAGTAACGCTTCCACTTCAGTAAGCGACTGATGTGATCTCGTGTAACAACAAGATTCTAAAATAGTGCAAGCAGTTTGGATTTGTAATTGTGCTGTTTTCGTTTCATCGGAGACCCTGATTTTGTAGACAAAGTAGAAAGAATAGCAGGCTATCCTAGAGGTTGGCCGAAGTTAAAAACTTAAGGTATAGCACCTGAATTTGGACAAGGGTGGCAGCGTTAATATTAAACGGCAAGTGCCTATTCACCATCAGTGGTTCGTAATGAACGTAAGAATTATGTCTACATCCCAACCAGCAATTTGGTATTGTCGGTAGCAACCACCACGCGGGGGCCAGTAGACTAAACGGTAGAACATCAAAATTATGCTTGCGAGTTTTAGTCACACATTGGGTAGATGGAATTCGTAATCCTAACGAGTCCCGAAAGGCTGTAACGTTCTTCCAGTACTTCTCGATTGTGGTTGTGGACATCTGACTGCTTTTAGTTATGACGAATTCAAATGATCCACACTGAGTAAAGTTAGTCAGACATGTGCTTCAAAATGTCACCTTTCTCTGCTGGTCTTGAGTGTAATAAGTATATAAAACGCAGGTATCTAAAGTACACCAGCACTTCTACTGATGCTTCGCTGCAATAGGCATGGGCTATAATCAGAATAAAACGACCAAACCGATACAAGACTGCGAATTAAACTTCATAGTTGGAGCTTGTGCTGAAAATACCTGATTTTCCAATCAGGTAACCCTACTAACTGCATTACTCACTGGGTTCGGAACTGACTGCATGCTGGAATATATTTTCTGACTGTGACGGAAATTATAATCTGTTCGCCTAGTTACTTTAAGCAAAGACGCAGACAAACGCAGTCCGTCGGCACATTTTGTGTACTGGAGCGCAATGCATGAAAGCAACTCACAGTAGTTGTTTCACACTATCGTAGAAGATGGAATGATCAATGACTGAGCTGATACTAACGATGCTTGAAATTGCTCTACACGTAAACTAGACCGGTACCTGGATCAGTTCGTATGTATTTTGATGTAATCTGCAGGTTGATTCGCTTTGGCCTTATGTGTTATCTGTTGGTACAGAGACCGAGAGTCGCATTGTGCATTGCTGCTAGTGACGTTTCATGGTTAGACTCAGAATAGGTATAGAACCACACTGACGGGCTTATTTCAGTGTTTGGACCTTGTTATTTGTGGCGTTTATCGTAGTAACTGGAAACACTACAGAGATGCATCTTTACGAACTGGTATATTTTTCAATAACTCTAAATGAGGGTTATTTGGGTTGGTTAATGAGCATTTGGTGTGTACACAGGATTGGGCAGTTAGGTAGCATAGATTTTGCCACCAGCTGGGGCGGCATTTTTGGGTGTTCATCCACTTGTGTTTACTCAGCAACGGTGAAAAACGTCAGGGCCAAAGCGGAGGGATGGGTAAAGGAAAAGGATATAGCATTTCTGTGCTAACACTCACCGAGTGCTTCCCACCAAGAGACAGCGGCTCACCAGTCCAACAGAAGTGACCGCTTAGACAGCTCGGTTCAACCCAAAAGAAGACAATGAATTTTCAGATGTAATGTATTTGTTTTGGGTGCGTTATCTGATGGACTGTGATTGGTATTAGCCGATGTATAGCCCACTTATCTGGACAATGTTCCAATAAAGTAGATGGTAAAACTTTCGAATGTACATGAATGAGATCATAAAACCTGTTATTTTGACGGGTCTGACAAATGGGTGTAGACAGGAAGCAAATCAGATATATGATCTGTTCATTGTCAGTGGACACAGCAGCATACTACACATGACTGAAGAAGTGAATGCTGATCTCTGACGACATTTTATGTACAGAAGGGGTAAATGGATCATCATCACTCCACATACATCGTTTGTTTTTGGGTGGGTAATAAATGCATAACTTGACAAAGCGTCAAAGCACCGGTTTCCATTGATTTAATTAACCGATAGTTGTCGAACCACCACAGGAATTCTCGTTTCCGTCCTCTTCGGAGAACTGCAAAAATGGTGAAAATGGCGGTGTTGATTACTTTGAAACATTGTAAACCTGATATCGCCGTTACGCACAGATTACACAATCACGTACAAACAGATACCGTTAGAAACGTAGGCAGTTCAATTGTGATTACTTTCGGACACTAAACAAGCTGTAGCAAATCCAAGTATGGAAGTCTGTGCACAGAAGGAGACCCCGTCGGCTTTCATAGTGTGGTAGCAAAACCTGATTTTCTATTGATCAATCGGATTAGCTGAGGATTAGACTTGTCGTCCAGAAGCTCTGGCCATGTGTGAAGAGTTTAAACCGGCGTGAAACCCTTCCATGTTTTCTTTTGGAGTAAGCAACAAGGAAACACCCCATCAGTACTTAAAGTGAGAGAAAATCAGACGCTCTCTGAGAGTAATTGCCACACACAATTATCGGAATATAGTGCTTTAGGATGGGTCCATTGGTAGCCCAGTTCTGGGTACTTTGTTTATTCCAAACAGCAATAACTGCACTGCCGTTAGATGTAGTTAGAATTAACTCAAAAAATGTGTTAAGTTTTCTTCATAAACACCAAACAATGTTCATAAGATAGTAAGGTGCAATACTCACGGTAATCGATCCGGTTCCAGATGTTTGCAGGTGCGTTTGGGGAACGGATCTCATAGTGCCCCCGTTGCCTTCTGTGTATGCCAAGGGAAACAGACTCTGGCGTTTAGTCGCGAAAGTTCCCGGTAAATTTACTATACCATCAGTAAAGTCCCCATTCTCCTGCGAAACAACTGTATCGCCAAAGGAGTTAGATGGTTCTGTCATCAATCTTTGTGGGTGCACTGTAACGGGCCTAAAGTTGAAGGAGAAATAGTGTGAACAAAGCTTACGTTGCCATTATTTATCGTGCAACGTGGCTTGTTACAATCTTAATACAGGCTTAGCTCTACTTAAATGCTAGGAGCAGTTTGCTACAATAAGTTAAGATACCGGGTTAGAATTGCAGTATGAAACAGTAATCGATATCCAAAATCGTGACACCGCGAATGTAGCACAGAAATTTCGACCCAGTGAAACCTTCGTACAAATCCACAGCTTCACAGTGAATCGAGGCAACTGAAAAACACTTCGTCAGCGCAGCATTTTGTGCAGTCATACAAGCCAATTTCTAGTAATGGAAGTACAGACTTGCTGGTTTTTCAAGTTATCATATGATAGTAAGTGCACAAGCCAAGTTACGGCAACAAATCAGCAATTTTTGGGGACTAGGAAGTATAAAAATAAGGGAAGAATGAGCATGGTGAAGTGCAGTACGGTTTGGTAGTATTCTAAAGGGCTTCGTGCAGCCCATAATGCATGTTGACAGAATTGCTAGGTAGAATGAAAAAATCCAGTCCCAAGATCCCTTTACCAATTAATGTGACTGCAGTTATACAATAGACAAAATTCGGCACAGATAGATAGAAAGTCCCGAAAAGCCGTGTGTTAATAATGGAAGTCATCAGGTTTCAATTTTATACTTCATAGAAAGATATGAAAATAACTCATCGGAAAATGCAGTTTGGAAGGAAGACAGCATCATTAGTAAGAAGCGTCGATGCCTTCTTAAATTCAAGTGACTGTTACATAACCTCAGCTTAGATGTCACTACACAAGAGGTTGTGACAAATGACACAACTGTGATTAAATATCCAGAAATACAGGAGAATTGAGTGTACACAATATGTTCCATCGGGGACTTTTCCCAGGTTATAGATATCGGTTTATTTGTTTTCTGTCGTGGACGCCAAAGAGGGATGAGGTTAGTTAAGGGTAAACAGAATAATCGTTAAATACAGGTAAAAAAGCCAAAGCTTAACAGATCCCGTAGGGTGGTCAAGGTGAATATCGCAAAATCTTGAAAAGTTGCCTGGAAAATGTAAGTTCATACCGGTGGACTCACTGAGGTAAACGCAGTGAAAAGAGTAAATGCACTTAAAATTCATCAAGAATGATGGTAAATGCGACGTTACTTTTAAGCCATCCCACCTCCTAGTGAACATTAGTAAGTGAAAATGTGTACCGTCTTCCGTGATCTAACCTACAGTGAACTGGCCAGCAGAAACTTGTGTTTGGCAATGGGCAATGAGTCATGGGAGATGGTGAACAGAAATGAGTGCCTGGTCAACTTGAGCTTTGAATTCCATCAGCGTGTAAGCACATATTCCAGCGCGTTTTATGCATAGTAAACACGTAGGGAAAAGCAATTCGTACGGCATTCTAAGCGAGAAAATTTCTCTGCTGGTTTGAGATGGTAGCTTCTCAGATTTCTGTTGCTAGTGAGCTCTTGCAGATGGCAGCACGAGTGATTGGGGTCACTCAATATCCGGCAATTCCAAATAAGCTCCACACACAAGCGCCGGTCCCGTCCGCTGAAGAACCCAAACATAGACTTGTTCAAAAGGTAAACGGTATAAGCTTATGACAATCTTGGTTGTCCGGCATTAACGCATTCCCGATGGGGTGAGACCTCTCCTCAGTCATGACTGGAAGTCCTGCATTGCTTCTTCCAATTTCAGACAAGTGCACGCGCCGAGAATCTACTGAAAAATCGTAGGGTGGAAGAGTCCGAACGCACGCCGCAGGTCTGCGTTTCGAATACCCATACTTAATGGCTTTTCAACCTAATTTGAACAGACAAGGTCAGCCTGGATCAAAACGCCCAGATCCTTTTCACTGCGAGACGTTTAAAGCTCCTGGTTGTCTAGTGTGCAGCAGCACGCTGGCGGGTGCCGTAAGTGCATTACTAGATATTTTTCTCGGACCAAAGAGACTTGGATGTTTTATTGACCATCCATAACCTATTTGCAGATCGGAATAAAGTAGTGGAAGCTCATTAGATTTATTGATCGTTATCCATAAATTGACATCATCGGCATAGAGTAGACCGTTGATACACATGCAGAATAATCGTGGCCCCAGCAATTGTCCTTAGGGTACTTAGGTTGCATCTGACAGGATCCCATCCATTCTTCTCACCAAGAGCCGATGGAGAAGAAGGCTTCTGGTTCATCTTTGTATATTGTCATCAATGCCCAAGTTCAGAAGTCTGAAAAGAAGGATGTCAAGGTTCAACCGATTGAATGTCTCTAAGATGTTGTGACAGACTATATGAACTTCTGTACCAGTGTCTACTGCCTCGGTCCAGCTGGATCGCGCTAGCAGCAGATTGGCAGTGCACAACCGAATTCGTCGGAGGCCATGTTGTTCTTGTGCAAGACAGATGAAGTCTTCTAACTAAGATGTTAGCACATTGGCAACAATAAGTTCCTTCAACTTTGAAAACACATGGGGAAGTGTTAAAGGACGGTAGTGGGCTGGGTCGGAACGACTACTTCCTTTGCAAATTTGAGTTAGCAAGCTGTGTCTTCACATGTCGCGTAAGCACATTTCGTCCGAAAAACGCTGTAGGAATCTAGTCAAATGCTCAGCTAAACCCTTTGCTAACACCGTAAGTGATTTCGGATGAGCTGTGCTTAAGCACACATATTAATTGCTCCAGTACAGTATCTGTTGTAAAAAATAAATGAGTGAGTTTTGGTAGTGGAACATGACTTGCCACGGAATTAAGGGGCCACTAAACACGCCGAAATATTGGGGCATATAGCAATCGCACGGCACTCGCCTCACGCTTTGCTGACAGTGTCAGTCCATCGGCTGTTTACAGTGTAGGGTTCCGTTTGACCAAATGATGACTATTTGTATGTTGATAAAGCAGATTATGTTTAAACACATACGCTTTGTCAGATTCCATTTGTAAGCCATTTAATACTCGCGGACAAGTTGACTACTGGTGTTACTTTGCGCTACATAAGACATCTAAATCTCTGTGCTTGGACGGCAATTGTACACCTACCAGGTCGAGTTTGACACCGCTATGTACACGCGTATCCTGATTCGCACAAACGAGAGCAGTTCCTCGAGGAGCCAGAGTTAGTTTCCATTAGTTCGGCGACCAGAGTGTTGAAATGATCGGCGGCATGCTGCCTTGCGATAGCCGGTGTTTCGTCTGGCAGGAATGTCCAGTTGGTTGTCTCACCACGTTGAAGTAATAATGTAGTAAAAATCCCATTGGATTATTAAAAGCCGGTGCAAGCGGACATGCTTTCAATAATTCCTCTTCAGGCTGGTACAATTATATGTGGAAAACAAATAAAATGTTTGACACAACGTAAGGGTTGGTAAGGTAAGTTCGCTCCAACATCACTGATCAAGCACATTCCAGCTTGTACAGTCGAATCACGATGGCATTCGCGGATTCAAGCAAACGCCTAGGGACGCACTTTGATCGAGTGTCTGGTGCCTGATAGATCACTTTGAAGGACTCAGCCAAATTGGTGGCTTGGCCAGTGTCGGCGAGATGGGTGGCTATGGATGAATTTGTTGCTTTTCGACAAGCAGTGATGAGCCAGGCCGGATGGTGTGCCTTCAACCTGTCAGACAGGCGCCTCGTCGTTCGTCGTACTGAAATTAAAACAGAACCCGATCTTCAGTCTAATGCGTAGAGCAGAAAGAATTTGCTCGAAAGAAACATTTCCCGAAGAACTGTAGCTCATACGTTCGACGCTGAGAGAAAATGCTTATGCTGACAGTTTCCTGAAAGCCAACATGGGGCAAAGGAAGAAGGCTTCCGTAACCCTTACAGTCCAGAGAAGACCCATATTTCTACACCTACCATACAAGGGAGAAATCGCTTCTGAAATTATAACCCGTCGCCTTGCGCATGTCCTCAGACACACTTTCCCGTCAGCTAAAATGCAAATCCAGTTTGCAGGTAACCCAATGGTTAGAACTAACCCCAAAGACAAGAGGCCTGTCCATGCAAAACCAATGTGCATTTACTCCGCCTTTTCCTGTGTGTCAGGTTATACTGGCCGAAAGATGAGGCGCCGGTCTTACAAGGTGAAGGAACATCATCCGGCCTGGCTCATGACTGCTTGTCGGGAAGCAACAAAGTCATTCATAGCCACGCACTTTGCCGACACTGGCCATGCCACCAATGTTGCTGAATACTTCAAAGTGATCTATCAGGTACCGGTCACCCGATCAAAGTGCGTCGGTAGGCATTTGCTTGGGTCCGCGGAGGCCACCGCGATTAGACTGTACCAGCCGGAGTCGTGTGTTCAGAAAAGGCTCGTTTAGACGTTAAAACTGTCTTGGTCCACCAGAACTGTGACATCCGGCTCATGGAATTGTGTGAACGCCGCACTTATTACCTAACGGACAGTGATTGTGCTTGATCAGGGATTGTGAACCGAACTTATCTTATCAACTCATATGTTGTGTCAAACATTTTGTTTCTTTTTCCACATATAATTGTACAAACCTGAAGAGGAACTACTGAAAACATATGTCCGCTTGCACCGACTGTTAACCGAACCAATGTGTTAGTGGCGCATAACGGTTTTCGTTGCCTCGGTAATTTCCACGGAATACTCTGTACAATAAAGGTATTCGAAGAGTAAGAGTACCTTATCACGGCGGCTCAGAGGGACTTCGACGATCATCGTCTCAGTCGGAAATTCTTCGATGTTAAGTATCCGAACCGATATAGACAGGCTACCTGTCTCTCTGAACCTAGTGGGAGCGTTGATGTGGCCATAAAGCGGGAAGTTGGAGGCAAACATCTGCCGATCCGCTTTAAAAGGTTCTCCAGCAGCGACTTTGGGTTCCAGAGCTTGGTTGCTGAAATCGCCAGGATTAACAACGTGGCTGCACTTCTTGTTTATCACCCGACCTAGCGCTGATTTTTGGGTGTGGAAACTTGAAAGCGGTATGCGACAGCCAGCCAGCAGGCATCGTCATTTCCTAAACATAGACGATACCGAAGGGAATCATGTACCGTTTTGTTTGAGTCCTCTAGGGACTCACATTGGAGGTCAATGCGGTAGAACAGAGCTACTCCGACCTCTTTACTGGGTCAGTCGTACCGAAAAATGCACATGTTTGGCAGTGCAACTTCGATGTCAGCTATGTGGGGGCATAACCATATCTCCACTTTTCGATGACGTAACAAGCCTACGATCCCTGAAGGAATACAAGTTCGGAAAATTTGCTAAGTAGAAGCTGAGCATTAGTCTACACATAGGATAAGTTCTTATACGTCAGCGGCGCTTGACATGGGACGTATGAAGGAAGTGATTATATGACGGCGGATGAGATGCGGGCACTTAATCATTTTAGGTGGTTTGCCGGTGAAAAGAGCAACTCCACGAAATGATTCTATTCCATTATTGGTCGCAATTACACGTGTGATATGCAGTCTCAATAGTTACTGGTCTGAGTACACAGTCCACTAGATTGCAGTTATGATTACATTGCAGTTCTCTAATTCCGAAGGAAGTAGGTTGCGTAGTTTGCGCTCGCTTTGCATTAGGTTCACTGTCAACTTTTCAGACTGAACTAATGCCTTTGAAGTGAAGCGACATGGGTAGTTTATCAAAATGACTGAAATATGACATCGTCAGCAGAGAGCGTTTTACGGACATACCGCTACTCATCCAGGTCATTCTTGTGGGCATCCTCCTCGCTGGCTGCCAGTAAATCAAGCACCACATTACGAAAATTGTTTTTTTTTCTTGCTGTCCCTGCAGTGGCCGTTTGAATACTTTCCTCCCGCAGCTGTTTGTCCCATGAAACATCCGAAAAATGCGTATCTCACCGTCTTCACTTTGAAGGCAGTATGCCGACAGGAGCACCGCTTCGACATCCTTGGTGGATCCCAATGCTACCCGTAACAGTAAGACGCACAGCATTGTATCCAGGTTAGATGTCTAGTTATGTGGATTAAGTAGGTCGACCTGACTCGAACACCGATCCGATCACAAACACAATTCCACTGGTTCAGATTGCCCTACTGTTTACCCCTTAGATAGTTGGCCTTGGGCTCAGGATCGTTGATGCATATGAGTGCGAGGGCACCGGTGGTGTGGAGGCGTTGCAAACGGTGGATTTGGCGACATATTTGCAGTTTGCGCCTGGTCCTTGTCACAGCTTGTGGCGGCAGTAGTTGAAGCTCCTGGAGGCGCAATTCGTACGTGTCAAAAAACAACTGTTAGCTAAATGGACGAGCCTTTAGAGAGTTTCGGTTTCTGCGGACAATCGAAAGGGTAGGTACCGCCACGGCTATAACAGTTGGTTCGTCGGACAAGAGAGTAATGGCGGTGGAGCTCGGCATGCTCCGATTATTAATGATGACGAGTTGTTTCGGTGTTCTTAAGGTCTCTGTCACTGTAATAGCGTGGGAACGCATGGCCCCTTTCCTTGGTATCGAGCTTGTGATTGGGGGAGTTTGGTGAGGCGCAATCCACACTTTTGTCGTCCTTAGTGAAGTGATGTTTGCATTTACATGGAATTCAGTCTCGGCGCTTAGCCTGTTGTAGCGTTGTACCAATGCCATTATCCATTTTACAAGGGGAGATGTCTACCTCAAGGACAGAATCAAACTGAGCCCGGTGTACATTTATACTTTCTACTTAGGTTGAAACTACTGGTGCATTTCGGGTAACTTGTATAGGGAGAACATGCCAGTCTTATTTTTCTACCCTAGCACATGCTTGATTAGTACAAAGACATCTTTCCGGGTTACATTTGTTGTGGCCATTGTGGTCGAAGAGCCGCCGCGTGGTTTGCAGGCTGTGTCTCGCCGTAGGGTAACGTTCAGCTGCCGATTGTCAGGTAAAATTCAGAGGATTTGCCCGTCGCTTCTTGGATGTTAAGTCTTGCTGTCATAGGATCGCGGGTAGGACATCTCCTATAGACCAGGTGTCCAATAGTGGCCGTGCATAGCAGGTCGATTTTTCTACCGAGTAAAACGGAGAGCGGAGAAAGTTTATGGCCGTCTCAGTGAAAAAGGTACACAATAGAAATGCAACTTGCTTTGCATTTGCTACAGACAGCGACGGAATGGGACGTGCGTGAGCATGTTAGAAATCGTAGAGATCCTTCTATCAAATGAGGTCAATATCTTGGGTCCGTGTTCGTAACAGCGAAAAATGGCGCGTGTGATTATTGACGAAATGCTGTCCACATTTTTAAATCCTGGTAGACAAAAACGGCGTCAAAATTATTCCTGGGAGTATGTTTTCAGTAGAGGTGGCTGATCAAACGGAGACGGCAAGCTGTAACTCCATCGACGTATGACGACACGCTATGGTGATCTCAAAAACAAAGAGCAAATTTTCAACCTGCTGTTTATATACTATTAGCAGTTGAAATCAAGCGTACTTTCGACGTTTATTGGCTGCGTCTTCGACGAAATGGACAAGCTATACCCGTTTACCGCTGTCATTTGCATAGTCATAAAACAGCGTCTAAACAGGCGTATAAACCAAAAGGATGGTATCATCAGCCTATCGCTACGGAGACGCTAAAGTTTGATATCGAGCAAAACTAAAAGTTGATGACAAATTAAACAAATTATCCATCCTTTGCTCTGTTAGTCTATTGCGCAACATGCTTGACTTTCGTTGGTTTCGCAAGTAAACATGACGGATACGGCAAGGCTAAGCTGCAAAACGGTGAATTGCTATAGAATATAACCAAGTTCTGAACACAGAAGTAGAAAAACGTTTTCGATATTTTCATATAGAGTGGATAAGACAGTTATTTGGTATTGTAAGAAAAAACATCACTACGCATCAGGATACTCGCTACCAGTGTCGCTGGTACTTCTGTCGTCTGGACAATACTGCTTGCGGGCAATCCTACACACGGCTGAAGCTGCGTTTCATTCATGACTGTGTGCAACAAAATTACCTAGATCCGTGAATAAGTTCATCTGAACACCAGATGCAAGTTACCGGTATTTTACCGGTCAATCCCATTAGAGAATTTCGAAGTAAGCTGCTTGTACTGCACATCTGCTCTAGAAATCACACCATTGAAATGTAATCCTTCCAGAGGAGTATAGACAAAACATGAGGATAGTACTACCGATGGGGGAAATGCATGAAGTCGCAAACTCCAGTAATAACTTACGGAGTACTTTAAGAATATTAAGTCAGATGATAGAAAAAGTAAAGCTTATAAGGTTGTGGTTCGTTTCCTAACCGTACGTGGACTAGGATAGATATTGGGATAGCAATAAAACAAAATGCCTGATTGCGGTTGAAGTTGCATTTTTGATCATATACATAGCAACGTAGACGTACACTAGCGCAAAACTTATCCGCATGATGAGAACATATTTTACTATTGCATACGAAAGAGATAGTGGTCAGATCGTCGGTTTTATCAAACCATTATTAAGAACCTAAGACGCGTGGACGGCAGAGACCATAAACCCTAGAGAAACATTGTTTGTATAGTTGCATACCATACATATGGGCGGTACATAGCGACCTTTGACATGGATGGGAAACATCAAAGTTACATGAATCATTTCTTGCAGGATACTGCAGTTGGTATGATGCAAAGGTCACACATGGCTTTATGTTTGGCGTTCACAAAATTTGTTACTAGATTATTTGACTTACTTGGTCAGCGTGGAATCTGAGGTGTCCAAAGGAACGACGACATTCTGCAAAGTACAGCAGTGAGTGGCAAGAATCGTAGAGAGATAACGTAGAGTACATCCAAATAAACTGTCAGACTATCAAGGTTACTGCGATTTTATCAAGTAGTATGGTGCAATACCATTTTACACTTCGCAGTACCCTTCCACAAAACTGAACAAAATCGTTCATGAATAAATGTCTTCCTATAGATTACCCCACTTCTCTAATGCACTTCAGCGAACACGCGCAAATGAGTTAGTTCCGCGGGTAGTCCAGTTAGTAGGTATCGCACAATGACAACAGAGTATGCAACAAAAAAGCAGGCGAGTAGGCGGTTGGCGAGATCATTGAGCACATGCGTATACATTTACTCATACTGCTATTAGTCTGAACGAGTGTTCTGAAATAATCTAAACATCACTTTCCCGCAAAAATTTAATTCAGCTTATCGTGACCTGATGGTTTCGGTCAGAGAAGAAACCCTCGGTGAAGCACATTTGTAACTGCGATCAGAGAAACAAATTTTCCTGGGCTCTAGAGATTGGGTATTGTCCGCGCGAAAAAAACTCCACTCCACTACGCCTTTCGACCTTGTCTCACCTCCTCACCATGACTATTCTATCAAATTTTAATGAGATAACGGTCGGCGTGTTCAAAATAGCTGTGGTTTGGTATACGTTGCGCATTGTGCCAATCGCATATGTCTGTCACAATGCGATCAACGCTGAGCCAGACGCTATTTTCACTAGCCTCTCACATGGAGCACGCCAATGCTGCAGCATTTCATCGCGGTCCGAGTACGTGAGATGTCCAAAATAGCTCAACCGTAACCATTGTTTACATAAAAATAGTTTATAGGCTTTTAACCCAATTTGGTGGACTATATGTTATTGCTTCACAATAATCTCATATCCAAAGTATGGTACACCAATTTCACTTGTCCCAGTAGGCAATATTTAAGCGGAAATAACTGCAACTCAGCCATTTGGTAGCGAAACGGCTAATGACTGAATGCACCAAAAACGATTTATTAAAACATAAGCGCATTAAAAATTGCATCAGAAAACTAAACAAAACAAATGTGCGTGACTGCACACCTCGACCCTTCGTGCTAACTAGTTTACCACACGTAGGATCTTTCCTTAGAATCAACTGGCAATTCAGGCCACAGGCGAAGCGCAGGTCGTTAATCTAGTAAACAATGGTATATATATATGGTTGGCGGCATCCGGTTTCGGATTGGCCTGTCACTGAGGCCAACCACAGGACGCCTGCGGCTACAGAGGGACCATGGATGGCTTGCGTTGCACCACACACAGCACCATCCACACACCCCATATCCAGTGTAAACCCGAAGGAATAAGACCGGGAGGCATGTGGATGGGAGCCACGTTTTATCAACGGAGCCTGCCCACATTCCTTCACAGGCAAACCCAAGCACGCTGTATTTGGGGAATCAAGTGCACACAACGCGGTGGCTGGACCGTAGTCCGCTCCACACTGACTGCATGGAACCACTCTTTGAGCCTAGCACAAACACAAGGACTGTGCACTCCGTCCCCTCCAGCAACGACCAACTGTCTCCTGGAGCCGGATGGACGAGGTAGCGGGTAATAGACAGATAGGCACCTTGTCAACATGCCCATCAAACACAGCCACACCTGGGACGTCAAATAACAGGCAATCACTCAAAATGCCGATATCGAATAAAGTAAACGCATATGACGACATAAAAACTCGCTAAATGAGCATACAGAAGATATTGCTTATAAGTGAATCCGTTGTAAGTACAAAATGTCCGAGTTATTTAAAAAATACCATGCGATAAAATTAGTCAAGTTTGCCACAACTTGCATGAGCGACGTGTGCAAGTTGGGAGAAGATTATCAAGTACGCAGGACAAACCAAATAACATGTAACGAATTTTACCCACATTAAAAAGATCTAGATTAAGTGTAAATTGGTTTAGCCCTATATATATATATATATATATATATATATATATATATATATATATATATATATATATATATATATATATATATGGCTGCCTAGCTGAACAACAACGTCCTCGTGGTGCAAGATGGATGGTTCGGGTTAATTCCGTTCCAGCGAATAGTTCGGTTGCAGTGTTCCAGGAGGTGGTGGGTTTACGCTTGGCAAGCGTTCTCCTTATGGCAAGCCACAAGGGTCCGCTTAACAACACTGTGATCTGACAGAAGTGACTCACCACGAAATAAAGTCACTGCAGTCTCCCTTTCCGGAGGATATTTCCCACTTCACCAACATTACCCAGTAAGAAGCGTTCTTCTGATCGTTTCGTACGATGGCGATCACAGCGAACAACATAAGGAATTCAGAGATACGTTACCAAATTCATTCATCATATCCACTTAAACATATAGGTGGATTAGCGGCATCCGTGTCCGGATTAGCCTATCACTGTGGCCTCAACGGGGACAGCCAAAGGAGGTCTGTGCCTACAGAGGGACCATGGGTAGCTTGTGCTGCACCACCCACAGTTCCACCACACACAGCATAACACGTGTAAACCCGAAGCAATAAGACCGGGAGGGATGTGAATGGGAGCCAGGTTTCAACAACGGAGCCGTCCCACACTCCTTCAACAAGCAGAACAGAACCATTCCTGCCTACTTGGGAACTCATGCATACCAAACGTACACAGGGTGGTGATTGGGCCGTAGCCCGTTACACACAAGATGGAACAACTCGCTGAACCAAGCACCGTCACGAAAACGGTGTACCCCGTCTCCTCCAGCAACGATCAACTGTCTCCTGGAGCCAGCATGGATTTGGTGACTGGTAGTAGGCACCTTGTCAAAATGAACACCAAGCGAAGCCATACCGGGGATGTCAAGCAACAGCCAATCATATGAAGTGAAACAACCAAAGAAATAGATCGAAAACCCCATACGGATATACCGCTAAGTTAAAACATGAAATAAAAGGATTATCAAAATAGACATGATTGATTCAAAATGGCATTAAAAGGGATCAATACACAAATGCAAGTACACAAAAAATGAGCGAAGTTAACCATCTTAAGCGACATTTGCAATGTAAAAGATTATCTAGGCATATATTAGAATGAGGTAAGAAAATAAGCATTAACACAGGATAGCAAAAATGCCAACTGAAATACAGAAAATCAGCACGCAAGCACGCGGTTAGTAAATCGAATGCAGCATACATCCAAACGCTGCGCCGGTTCTACCTACCTTTTCAACTGGACCCGTCGTCGTTTCGATGTTGGTCCCGAGTTGCCTCGCTCGTGGCTAACTAGGCCTGCCTGACGCAGGCGACCGCATGTGCTGCAGCACCATGCGTTCGACCTCGATGGAGTACAGCCCATCGGCGCCTGTCGCTTCCGCAGTTGCAGCTTCTTCTCTGAAAGAACGAGGGATTTCTCCTACACATCGGCAGTTGCCATCTTGATTAGATCGCGCCATGCATGTCGATCAACCGCCTTCGATTCCCGACAATTGTAATCGACATTAGAACCTGATAGGCTCACTTTGATCATGTCCTGGTAACGTAACTTCGGTTTTCCCACGTGCCGCCTCCCTGCACTCAGTTGGCAATACAGCAGATGTTTCGGTATCCGCGTCGAACCCATAGGCCACACATGACCGAGCCACCTCAAGTGTCTCAGCAATAGTATGTAGTCCACTGCATACATTCCACTTCAGTGCATTACTTCATGTTTGCAACTCTGTTGCACCAACCGACGCGCAAAATTCATCGCAGACCCTGTTGATGAAATTGCTCGAGATATTTCACATCTCGCCAGTAGGTCGTCCACATTTCGCTGACGAACGGACGGCGCTGTGTATTTGTAGACCATATATATATATATATATATATATATATATATATATATATATATATATATATATGTATATGGTAGGTGGCATCCGGTTTCGGATTTGCCTGTCACTGTGGCCAGCCACAGGACGCCTGCGGCTACAGAGGGACCATGAGTCGCTGGCGATGAACCACCCACAGCTCCAACCACACACCCCATATCCAGTGTAAACCCGAAGCAATAAGACCGGGAGGCATGTGGATGGGAGCCACGATTCATCAACGGAGCCGGCCCACACTCCTTCACGGGCAAACACAGGCATGCTGTATTTGGGAATCAAGCTCACACAAGGCGGCGGCTGGACCGTAGTCCACTCCACACTGAGTGCATGGAACCACTCTTTGATCCTAACACGGCCACAAGGGCCGTGCACCCCGTCCCCCCCAGCAACGACCAACTGTCTCCTGGAGCCAGTATGGACGAGGTAGTGGGTAATAGACAGGTAGGCACCTTGTCAACATGCACATCAAGCGCAACCATACCAGGGATATCAAACAACAGCAATTTAATTTAAACGACAAGCTGAAATAAAATAAATCCAATAATGCATACAGATACGGTGGCATAACTCTTCGCTAAATTACCATATGAAGTAAGTTGGTCAGCAACAAATCCGTGATAAGTAAGAAATGTCCACAAGTTACTTAAAATGCTACAAACGCAACCAAATTACCGAAGATAAGCGCAATTAGTGTAAGCAACGTGGCCAGTTAATAGAACATTATTCAGGGAGGCAGAACAAACCAAATAAAGCGGAATGAAATTTAGCCAGCTTAAAAAGACCTAGTTTAAGTGTAAGTTGGTTTAGCCCAACTGCGGTGAAGAAGCATCAAGAATGCAACATCAGCCTCAGCATGGGGCACGGGACGGATATATATATATATATATATATATATATATATATATATATATATATATATATATATATATATATAACAAGTTTTTTGATAAACAATTTCCGTCAAAATGTTTAGTCAACTTGGTAACGTTTGGTAGAAACTTACGTAACAGGACATCTAGGCGATGATGAAGGTACCGCTTACTGCGAAAATGTAGCGGAGCTGAATTCGATGCACTACAGACTATTTGTCAGCCTACTAAGTTTAGCAAACTCATATATTTAAAGTTTCTGAATATTGATGTGCAAAGGACGCCGGCTCCAGATAACAATTTTATGCAGGATCCTTTTAGAGAAGTGCATTTGTGGCACTCCACCAATGCGTTTGTTGATTATGTAATGTAATAATTCACTGATGCCTTCTGACTACCCAAGCTTCGAGCACCCACGGTGTGACGCGTATATCGTATTTGAATTAAATCAAATGAACCAAGTGTTTCCTCAAAGGTATTCATTTAATGTCGGGTACTGTATATTCATCCCTCGCTAAGAGAATCGACGTACCACAGTTTGTGGGTTTGAGGATTGCTGATATTTTGTTCTCGATGTCTACGCGATGATCTCACATTGACATGCTAAGTATTGCGTGTTTCTATGCATAGAGGCTGCCACTTGCCGGAGCTGAATCATACCACCAGTCTTAGGGGGGTAAAGCTTGAAATGGAGTGAATCAAGAACCAGTATGAAAATGGAATCACACTGCTCCATTTGGGTGCAGCACTACCGAAATGCTCTTCCAAAATCAGTTATTTCCTCTCTTACTTTGGATATCAGCAAGCAAACGACTGTGCAACGCTCTTAGCCCTTTGCGCTCTTCGGAATGACATGTGATGCCACTACGTGACTTACTGAACTTATTGCTTTCATATGCCTTACATGCAATTTTTCTTTAACCCCGTTAGCTTGCCGTTGTTATGCATTGTTATTCTTGCGATATGAGTCGTGGCAATTGGATCCACCGCACTTCGGTGTTCGGTTCATAGCTGTTCAAGTGAGCTGAACCGAACTGAACTGAACTCAGTACAAGGATGAGTATTTTTAGTCCCTTTACAAAAATTAGTAACAATAGCAGGTCCGCATGTTATTTTATGTTCCAAAACTCAACTTCCAGGTTCTCGCTATTACAATTCATCGTTAAATTTAGCGCATTCGTTTCTTCGCCCCTAGCATGTCTTCGCTTCGCCGTAGAAACCTACATTGAAGAGACGAATACACTCTCATTTTGAATTTTCACCCTCAAAAGCAAACAGAAGTTATCAACTATGGGCTTTTTACCACAAATAACTCATTGTACAATGTTCGAAAATTCAGAAGTAGGTCAAGATAGACCTGGTGAAACTAAGGCCTCAAGTTTTCTGCTTTCATGACTGCTGTCCTGTATTTACCTCATGCGGTCACTTCGATTGTTTAACGCAACCAAATATTTATGTACGAATAAAATAACACTGAAGTGCGCATATTGCAAATATGTAGCAATGCCAGATAAGAAACCATTTAACTGAGGGATAGGTACGGAAAACATCGGTACAATCCGGAACAATTTCATTTCGGAAACTCACTCTTGGTACGGTCCGACTGCACAGAGGTGAGAGGCTGGTTGGACGCTTTACAAGTTCATTCGATCCCTCTGTACTCTCTGTGGTGAACTCCCACGATTCATTGGGGTCGTCGGTACCATTCCATTTCATTCTCACCGGTTTGAACGTGCTAGAAAGAGCATCCTTCATATTGGCATTGTTTGACTTCGGCTCTCTTGCTGAACGTGGTGATCCCATTCCTTGCAGATTGTTGTGGACTGTGGGCAGAGTTGACTGACTGGCGTTGGTAAGAGAGAATGGGGTTTGTTTGGATGACGCATCAGACATGTCGGTTTGTAGCTTGGGTGCGGCATTTTTGGACTTTTTGTCTCTCTTCTGACGTTGTGCAACAATGAACTCATAAGTGGTCATGTGCTTGAAATCTACAATGAAAGTAGGGTAAATCGTTACCGGTACAATCGGTGAGTCCACTTAGAGCAAACAGACTGCAGTAACATGGGTTGCATCTCGTGAACAGATAGGATTTATGTTTGCTCAGTAATGACCGTCACGAAAGCAAATAACTTACAGTTAACAGAAAGAGGGTTGCAGTGATGGGATTTATGGTCAACGCAAGACAACGCACAGCGCCCAAGTTTCTCAAAGGTATTTACGTCTAAGGTAGGATCGTTTTCGGGTGTTATAGCGGTGATAAGAAAACTCCACCACTCCCCGTTGTTTCGTGAGTTTGTCTCACTCACCCCTAATCGTCCCGCCTTCTTTCACGGTTCCTCGCACACGTGTTTCTGTTGCCCCACATTTTTAATTGGCTTGTGTTGACACTGAGTCTTTTGCTTATTAGCTTTTCTCATGCCCTGTGTATTCCGCTCGTTCGTGACGCACCTTATCGATCATTCGCCTTGGAACGGACCAGCTTTTATTGACCGAATGTCAGCCTTTCTGCATAGCTTCCGTATATACCCTGATTTGAATCAATCGATTGATTATTACTCTCGGACGCTTGGCTGCCGGTTCAGTTTACGGCGAGCAACACTGTCTTGTAAACGGATTGCCGTGTGTGTTCTCACTACCGTTACTGGGTGGAAGCAGTGGTGGAGTCGACACAATATCGAACCATTTGGAATCTCCTAGCAGAATTGGAAGATTACACTCAAATCCGAAGAAGTTCGAGGCGAGGCTGAGTAGATAAACCTCTGACGAGGAGGAATAACACCGGAACTCTGTACTTCGCATAGAGTCTTAATGCCGTGAACGAATGTTTATTGGTGCAAAGTAGATATTGGCCCAAAATGAGACTGCGCATCTCGGTCCAAACACGGCTTGGCCTCCGAAACCCAACAGTTACTTCCAAACCACTGTTTTAAGAACTGTTGGTGCAGCGTAGTGACCCAACGGTTAACCGTCAACTACTGCTAACTGAGTTTCGACGGCTTCGGGTATCTCTGCCATGAAACTCCAGATATGGACGAAACATACAGAAATGTGAGCACGTAACCACAAGAGTATGTGCCATTCGGATGAGTTCACAGTGCTCGGAGTGATCGCGGTTTAGATCACAGTAACTAATTGTTTTAGTCGCGGTTAGTAGGGCGTCGAGCTGCCAGAACAAAGACTTCCACCGCACCGGATGTAAAGACTCATGAAACAGGCTAGACAACCGATAATATATAGGGAAAGGTGAGAGGATGAGTCAGACATGCCGCCTGGCATAGTCGGCGGCATCACGCAAATGAACCACAGTGGAGCAGTGTGTGCGAGTGAAGTTCATGGCAAGGGTTGGGACGACGTCTGTAGCGCAATCATTCTAATTCAACTAACAGACGTAAAAGTATATTTCCATTAACATAAAAGTCTACTGTCCCAATTCCAGCAAAATAATTATATTATGCTACTTTACGAAATTTGTCTGTAAAACATCTTAGTATACATTTAAATTCGAGAAAGCAATTTGGTGTGAAGGCATATAAGTGCTCCTTTCCGATGGATGAAAAATGGTCAAAGCGGACATTTCAGATGAAGGAACGGCTGCCAAAATCATAGATGTGGGTGTATATGGCTGCAAACCACTAAATAAACATATATGCTGCGCCCCCACACTTAACACTTAGAAAATACGACCTAAAACAACAACAATATATATATATATATATATATATATATATATATATTTGAGATAAACCTTTAGGACAGTAAGCCTTCATGACGCTCTCAAGCTGTGATTTCTCTCAGAAAAGTGCCTGAAACGTATTTATGTATTTCATCTGGTTTATTTCGTTATCTTTTTATTCTTTATCATCTTTTTCCCCCGGGACATGTGATCTCCTGATTTCATTACCATACTTCCTACCCAGCCTTCGTTTCTTGAGTTTCATCATGTTTTTATGTTGCAGGCCACCTTGACAGGTCCAGAGTATTTGTAAACCATGACCGTTTAGCGAAATACGTTGAGTTGCTACCGCCTTCAAAGATTCTAAAAGTATTTGCGTATCCTGCTGGCCATAGTGCCATCCAATCGTAGTGAGTTCGTCAATACACGCAATCGTGGTATTTTAAGTCGGTGAATGGGACTTGTAAATTCACTAGAATAAACTACTCTACTGGCAATTAAGAAGTAAGCTGTTTGTTTTTATCATTCTGAGCAAGCAAAAAGGCATCCGCTTCGCTTCACCCCGCAGTTCCTACGAGTTCACAGATTTTCAGTTTGACATATTTTCTGCTGCTAAGCGTTTTGTTCAACACTGAGACTGAGACTGTACTTAAGAGCAAGTAGAAAGGTTTCTGTACAACTCTATCAAATTAAGAAAAATCAAAAACATTTAGTTGCGAATCGTCAGCGGTTGTGTTTAGTCAGTTACTCGTTTATCCTTGTTCGGTTAGGAATTTGTACTAGTGTCATTATTTCAGGGAATATGCTGACTTCTTTTGGTATTGTATGTGCATCGTTTCACAAAAGCACAGGTTTCCGAAATAATCGTCGATTTATGTTTTAAAACACTTCGCCGAATCGACCCCTATTATTCCTTCTGGTAGTGAATTCCATAAGTTTACGATTTTTCGTTCTATACAAAGCTGATATGATAGCTTGTTCGTACAGAGGACCCTGAACTTGTAACGGTGTCCTCGGATGTTACAGGGTTCCCGCAGGTACAATATTGACCTCAGTATGGGGAAGTGATTCAATTGTAGTACTCGATGGGTCATAATAAGGTCAGTTCTTACTCGGCGGTAGGATAGTTTGTAGAGTTCAAGCATTTCACCAAGTCTTTCATACGGAAGCTTTCGTAGACTGGGTATTATTCTAGTTGCGATATGCTGTATTTTCTCCAGCCTTTCAGATTCCCACTGGGTTTCTGGATGGCAAACTGAGGCACCGTATTCAAGGATTGGTCTAATGAGCAAGGTGAATAGGCGAGGGACGGTTACTTCGGAGCATGCGGAGAAACTGCATCTTAATACCCAGAGCATACTAAGTCCCGCATGGTACAATTTCTCTGTAGTTTCTAGCGATCTTAGATTATGTCACGAGAGCACTCCGAAGTCGCTGACAGATGTGTTAGGGTGGAGCAACTGGCCGTCCAAAATGTATGATCGAGTGGCTGAACGTCTAATGATACTGATGAACTCCGACTTGCTTGCGGTAAGGAGTTGCATTTCAGTGGACCACGTTGACAGTCGACCTAACTCATGCTGTAGGCGAGCGCAGTCATCCGGATTCGCAATGATTCTCCAGGTTTTCGAATCATCTGCGAACAGGGCACATGGTGACTGGAGCTGCTGCGGGAGATCGTTGATATGACTGAGAAATAACGCTGGCCCAAGTATAGTTCATTGAGGCACGCCACTAGTAGATGGGAACCAGTCTGTCAGGTAGTCATTGACTTGTACTCTAAACTTTCGCTCCACAATAAACTCGTGTAAGCACTGAAGTAGCGTGCCACCGATTCCGTATGTCCACAGTTTGCGAAGGAGTACCTCGTCGTTCACTCTGTCAAACGCCTTACTAAAGTCGATGTACACCACGTCAACATAGATATATTCATACTTCTATTATTGCCCGGCCTTAACCCATTTGCTGCTGAGGTATTAAAACCTCTTTTTTCTATTCCTTGTAGGAGATTGTGAAAAAACACTCATATGAAGTTTGGATTTTGGAAATTTGGATTATTGTAGGAAATATGAAGATTTTTCTAATTGGCCTTTTTTAAAGACGGCAGCAACAAATGATACTGTGACATTGGATTTTACAATAAACATGGAACGGCATTTTCTGAGCGAATACACAATGGTTTATGGATTTTCAGTGGCAGTGTTTAATATTACTTTCAGAGGTGATATAACAGGTAGTTATCCTAGATAAAAGTTTAGCTCGCGCACATATACACGAATTATGTGTCAGATAGTTCATGGGTGGTATGTTGAGGAACAGCCTCCGTGAAATGACACATCACACACTGGACAGAGTAAATTAGCCTTCTTCTCACAGTGACAGCATCTTCTTTGTTTAGCATGGATTCCAAGTAGTGCCCAGAGCAAGTTTTCCTGATTCGGTCGTCAACATTTTGGCGATTCCTTCGAGGTGCAGAAATATTTTGTAGGACATTTGTTTCTCCTACATACACCTGTAAGTAGAGTTTCACGAAGCTCGTTGGAAGGAAAGCATACCATGCTGCTCTTGCTCATTTGCAGCTGATTTTCTGTACAAAAGCCAAGAATTATGCATTGCAGCATAAGGGAGAAAGGCGAATAGAGGCCACCAGTGCCTGTCGCTGCGAAAACTGACTATATGTTAAGTGAAATTTTGGTCTAATCGATCTACCCCTCTAATGGAAATGTTATAATTGGTAAAGATACCAAGTTGTTCAATAAGTATGTGCGTTTGGTCCTTCACCGACCACCTCTTTATCTTTCGTCGGAGGATAAACACCAACAGAATTACTGACAAGAGTCACTACAGAATTATCATTCCAAGATAAAACGAACACATTAGCTCGCTTGTCAAACCTGTAGTCATAAGTGCTCCTGTTGAAAAACCACGACTTAATGGTACAGTTTATTCCCCACTGCCCCACGTTCTGTTGCCCAGACCGTGCGTTTGTCTAGTGAATTTGCTTGCCATCTGTCTGTCGCCGTGACAAGAGTTGAATAAGTTGCGACTCACTGGTAAATAGATGAAATTTCTGCTACTGAACAGCTACAGGAGGGGGAGAAATTAAAACAGGTATTATCTGCTGATCTGTTCGCCGCCCTACGTAGAATTTCAGCAGTAGTGGTGCTAGTTGGTGCGGTCACACTGGGTAACCAGTCAGAATGTCCACCGTTCGACGACGCAGTGGACAAATTTTCTTGTACCCTTACTACTAAAGGTTTTTCAACCAATCCACCCATTCGCCAGACAGATCAGGTAGCCAGTAGCGTGGTTCCG